GGATGTAAAGGAGCTCAGAGTCTCCAAAAGCTACTGTGTAGTTCATGCAGACCAGCCCAAGCTCTCCTTGTAGGGAGAGCAGACGAGGGCACGGTGGGTCACTCCTGCAATGTTAGTATTCTGAAAGTTGAGCCAGGAGGGTCGCTGTGAGTGGAAGGCAAGTGTGAATATGAAGTCTCCTGGATTTACAACTCTCACTACATACGTTTGAATATATATGTGTATACACACTCACAGATACCTTCACATACAAATCACATTTTAGAAAAAAGACAATAGCATTTCTTGACTTTAAGGACTAAAGATTGTGAGGAGGTGATCATGAGGGCTGGACCAATCTTAGATCTTTTCTTTGGAGCATCAGGGAAATAGGAAGGCTTTGGAATAGTCTTTTTGTACTCTGTGAAGATGTGTTACTCTCATTGGTTTAATAAACAGGTAATGGCCAATATCTAGGCAGGAAGAGGTTATGTAGGACCTGATGACAGGGAAAAGAGAGGTCAGGAATGAGGAAGGGCAGAGCTGCAAGGACACAGAGAGAAGCAAGATGAACTCACAGTGCTGAAAAAAGGTAGCACCTCATGATCCAATGTCAATAAGAAATATGTGTTCATTTAAGATGTAAGAGCTGGTTAGTAACAAGCCTAAGCTGTAGGCCAGGTATTTATAATTAATAATATGTTTCCACCATGTTTATTAGGGAGCTTGTCTCAACAACAAACCCTACTTCCATATGAGGGTAGAAATTGCTACCCCCAACACTGGGCCTCACTAGGGGAAATGACAACACCAAGCACAGATCTATGGTTGTATACGGGAGGGCTAATTGTGTTTGTTTGTTTGTTTGTTTGTTTGTTTTTGAGTTAATCTCGTATCCTGCCATATTACTGAAGGTGTTCTCAGCTGTAGAAGCTCCCGGGAAGAACTCTAGCGGCCACTTCTGTAGACTATCACATCATCAGCAAGAACTCTAGCAGCCACTTATGTAGACTATCACATCATCAGCAAATAGTGAAAGCTTAAGTTATTTTCTTCTTTGTCTCCCCTTGATCTCCTTTTGTTGACTTACTGCTCTACAATATTTGAACAGATATAGAGAGAGTGGACAACCTTGTCTTGTTGCTGATTTTAGTGGGATCGCTTTGAGTGTCTCTCTCTTTAATTTGATGTTGGCTGTTGGCTTGCTGTATATTACCTTTGTCATGTTTAGGTATCCCTGATCTCTCCAAGACCTTTACCATGAAGGGGTGCTGGATTTTGTCAAAAGCGTTTTCAGCGTCTAATGAGATGATCATGTGTTTTTTTCTTTCAGTTTAATTATATGGTGGATTATATTGACATATTTTTGTATGTTGAACATCTCTGTATCTCAGGGATACAGCCTGGGATTTATTTTCTTCTTGTTGTTGTTGGTGTGTTCTGTTCTTGGATTCTGTTTGCCAGTATTTTATTGAGTAGTTTTTGTTCAATAAAATAATCAATACAGTAAAATGCTCATGAGGGAGATTGGTTTATAATTCTCTTTCTTTGTTGGGTCTTTGTGTGATTTGGGTATCAGGATGACTGTAGCCTTGTAAAAAGAGTTTGACAGTGTTCCTTCTGTTTCTAGTGAGTGGAACAGTTTGAGGAGTATTGATAATGAGCTCTTCTTTGAAATTCTGGTCGAATTCTGCACTGAAACCATCTGGCCCTGGGCTTTTCTTTTTCGTTGGGAGACTTTTGATGACTGTTTCTATTTCCTAAGGGGCTATAAGTCTGTTTAAATTGTCTACTGGGTCTTGATTTAATTTTGGTGTGTGGTACCTGTGAAGAAAGTTGTCCTTTTCTTTTACATTTTCCAATTTTGTGGAGAACAAGTTTTCAAAGTACAGCCTGGTGATTCTCTGGATTTCCTCCATGTCTGTTACATCTTCCTTTTCATTTCTGGTTTTGTTAATTTGGATATTTTCTCTCTGCTTTTTGGATAGTTTGGATAAGGGTTTGCTTGTCTTGTTGATTTTCTTGAAGCACCAACTTTTTGTTTCATTGATTCTTTGTATTGTTCTCTTTGTTTCTATTTTGTTGATTTTAGCTTCAATTTGATTATTTCCCATTGATTACTTCTCCTGGATGAGTCTGCTTCTCTTTGTTCTAGAGCTTTCAAGTGTACTGTTAAGTCATGAGTGTGAGATTTCTCCACGTTCTTTATGTAGGCACTTAGTGCTATGAACTTTCCTCTTAGACTGCTTTCATAGTGTCCCATAGGTTTGGGTATGTTGTGCCTTCATTTTCACGGAATTCTAGGAAGTTTTAAATTTCTTTCTTTCTTTTTTTCTTGACCAGTGATGATTCAGTTGAGAACTGTTAAATTTCCATGAGTTTGTAGTTTTGTTTTTGAATTCTAACTTTAAGTCATGGTGATCTGATAAGATACAGGGATAATTTCAATTTTTTTTTACCTATTGAGGTTTGCTTTGTTACTGAGTATGTGGTCAATTATCGAGAAGGTTCCATGCAGTGCTGAGAAGAAGGTGTATTATTTTGTGTTCGGATGGAATGTTCTTTAGATGATTCTTAAGTCCATTTTAGTCATAACATCTGTTAAATCCCTTGTTTATAAGTTAGGTTTCTGTCTGGCAGACCTGTTCCTTGGTGAGACTGGGGTGTTGAAGTCTTCTATTATTAGTGTGTGGGGTTTGATGTATGATTTAAGTTTTAGTAATGTTTTTATTACAGATGTGAGTACCCTTATTTTTGGGGCATTGTTAGTTAGAATTGAGACTTCATCTTGATGGACTTTCCCTGTGATGAATATGAGATGTCCTTTTCCATCTTCATTGATTAATTTTAGTTTGCAGTCTATTTTATCAGATATTAGGATTGCTACACCGCTTGTTTCTTAGGTCCATTTGATTGGATAATCTTTTCCCACCCCTTTACTCTGAGGTAATATCTGTCTTTGAGGTTGAGGTGTGTTTCTTGTATGTAGCAGAAGAGTGGGTTCTGGTTTTGTATCCATTCTGTTAGCCTGTGTCTTTGTTTTATTTTGTTTTTCAAGACATGGTTTCTCTGTAGCTTTGGAACCTGTCCTACAACTAGCTCTCATAGACCAGGCTGGCCTTGAACTCAGAGAGATCCACCTGTCTTTGCCTCCTGAGTGCTTGGATTAAAGGCATGTGCCACCACCACCAGGCTAGCCTGTGCTTTTTAATAGGTGAATTGAATCCATTGATATTAAGAGATATTGATGACCAGTGATTGTTAATTCCTGTTACATTTGGTTTTGTTGTTAGTGGTAGTAGTGTTTGTGTGTTTCTCTTCTTTGGGTTTTGCTGGTGTGAGGTGTGAGTTTATCTGTTTCTTGTGTGTTTGTGGGTTCAGCAAACTTCCTTGTGTTGCAGTTTCCCTTCTAGTACTTTCTGTCGGGCAGATTTTGTGGATATCATTTAAATCTGATTTTGACATGGAATACTTTGTTTTCTCCATCTATGGTGACTGAAACTCTTGCTGGGTATAATAGTCTAGGCTGGCATCTATGGTCTCTTTGTTTCTGTAGCACATCTGCCCAGGACCTTCTGGCTTTCAGAGTTTCCATTGAGAAGTCAGGTGTAATTCTGATAGGTCTGCCTTTATATATTAAATGACCTTTTTCCTTTGCAGCTCTTAGTATTCTTTCTTTATTCTGTATGTTTAGTGTTTTTATTATTATATGGTGAGGGGACTTTCTTTTTTGATCCAGTCTATTTGGAGTTCTGTAAGCCTCTTGTATCTTCATAGTCATATCCTTATTTAGCTTGGGAAAGTTTTCTTCTATGAATTTTTAAAATATATTTTCTGTGTTTTTGGTCTGTACTTCTCTTTCTTCTTCCATTCCTATTCTTAGGTTTGGTCTTTTCATAGTGTCCCAGATTTCTTGGATGTTTAGTGTTAAGAATTCTTTGTTTTATCATTTTCTTTGACAGATGACTCTATTTCCTCTATTGTATCTTCAATGCCTGAGATTCTCTCTTCCATCTCTTGTGATCAGCTGATTATGCTTGCATCTGTAGTTCTTGTCATTTTACCCAGATTTTCCATTTCCAGAATTCCCATGGTTTGTGTTTTCTTATTGCATTTATTTTAATTTTAAAGTGTTGGACTGTTTCCTTCACTTGTTTGATTGTTTTTCTCTTGGTTTTCTTGACCTTTTTTAAAGAGATTTTTTTCTTCCAATTTTTGGTTTGTTTTTTCCTCCGTTTCTTCAATGGAATTTTTCATTTAACCTTTAAGGGCCTTTATCATATTCATAAAATTATTTTTGAGGTTGTTTTCTCCCGTTTCATCTGTTGGGATGTTCTGGTCCTGCTGGTGTAGAACCTCTAGTTTCTGCTGCTGCCACATTGCTCTTTTTGTTGTTGAATGTGTTCTTACACTGCTGTCTGCCCATCTCTTCCCTCCAGTCGGTGCAGGTGGAGCCTGTACCTCTTTGGGTCAGCCTTCCAATTTATATTTATCCCTCTTTCTTCCCAGGCAGCTTCTGTACCAGGAAGTCACCAGCTTGCCCTGGCCTCACTTTACTGTCTCCTAAATCTCTTGAAACCTGAAGAGTAGTTGTGTTTTCTGAGGAGACTGAGGAGGAGACCTGAACACTGAGCAGGAGTTCCTTGTAAATTGTGTCCTGAGTCCCAGCACCCACCCATGTATGTTCACAAATCCTGCATTTGTGGAGGTGGAGTGCAAGATGCTGAGACACAGGTGAGGCAGGGACTTGACTGTATGGGCATGAGTAAGGAAACGTGCATGTATTCCCATATGAGTAAAAAGAGCAAAGATCATAAGAGAACGGAGGTGTGTTACTGAATAGACAGTGATGTTTTCCTTGGCAGCAATAAAGGAATGGCAAAGGCCATTATATATTACAAAACCAAACAGGTGAGAGATCACAGAAGTGGGGCATGAATAAATACCAAGATAGGCAGTGGACAGAGAACCAAGTGTGGACTTCCTGCTAGAAGCCTGCATTCCCCTGTGTCTCCTGAGTCCTGTGAGCCTACTTTGTCCTCTGTGAATAGAGGCCAGGTTCACTCTGTCCCAGACTTCTGTGCCTGTCCTTTGAGAGCCATGTGGCACTATTTGATGGGTCTAGTGGGCCTGTGGACCCTCCTGCGCTTGATCAGGGAGAGGCAGGTGGTGAGCCATCTCCAAGACAAGCATGTCTTTATCACGGGCTGTGACTCAGGCTTTGGGAACCTGCTGGCCAGAAAGTTGGACAGGAGAGGCATGAAGGTGCTGGCTGCATGTCTGACGGAGAAGGGAGCTGAGGAACTGAGGAACAATACATCAAAGAGGCTGGAGACAGTGATCCTTGATGTCACCAAGACAGAGAGTATTGTGGCAGCCACTCAATGGGTGAAGGAGCGTGTTGGGAACAGAGGTACCATTGAGATCCTTGTCTGTGTCTGTTGGTTTGACTGTTTTTGAAGGGATCTCTTATGTACACTCCATGACAAGATGCTTTATGTGGGTTGGGGCACTTGAAGTACCCTCAGCCTCCAGCCCTCCCCTGAACATTACCTGAGCACTTTCTCTCTCTCCAGCTCTTACCTGCTGTTTCTCAATCTCTCTGGTCTTGGTAAGAAGGTGCCCTTTGTAGGATTCACCTTCTCACCTTCCTGTCTGTGATCTGTCCCCTTCTCTATGTAGACAATCTAGACTGCTGGATGCTTATAGCCGGGTCCCTTACTGGAGCAGAGGGATGGAATATGTTCCTGGGATATTTGTACAGGATATCTGGGGCCGCATTTGGGTGGACCTCCTGAGTCAGCACCGTCCTTGCTCTTACTTGTCACCTGCCATCCTCTGTGGAGGGGGACAAGACTGCTCCTGTGTAGAGTGGCCATGACAAGAGTAAGAACTGATTTGGATAAGTAAGATAGAAGTTACTCTTCTTTCATCCAGCTGACAGTGCTAATTGTGATGGCACAGAAAACAACCCATGGTTTAAAGGAAATCTAAGAATAAGTTGAAAACATGATGATTGTTCAAGTTACTAGATGTTAAACAACAAAATTTAACCTATAATTTAGCGCCCAGTGCATGAAAACGTTTTCACCTGTGTGCATTAAAGTAAATGCATTCTTTTCACTTAGAAAGGTGAGCAATTTTTACCTCAACATTTCTTTGATAATTTTTCTTTTGAAACATGGTTCCTCCATTTCTTGACTTTCTGGGACTCTGTAGACCAAGCTGTCCTCCAAGTCAGAGATCAGTCATCTTGTGTCTCCAAACTGCTGGGATTAAAGGCGTGTGCTTCCACTGCCTGGTTTAATTCAATATTTAATGAATTAAAAAAATGTAACTATCAAGAAAGCCCCACTAATGAACCATACCTTCTCTCAGATCTGGGATTGTCCGGTATATTTGTGTTTATTTTAGCTTGAGATTTTAGGATAGGAAGTGGATACTGACTGGTCTTGAACTCATGACCTTTCTGCCTCAGACCCTCCTGTACCAGGATTGCAGGTCTGTGCCACCACCCACATCTTGTTCTGTGCATTTATGATCATAAGCACTGTCCTGGTACTCAGATTTCTGACCTTGTGGTGGGATCCTAGCAATAAAATATCTCAGTTAAACAGTTTATGTTTCCAGAAAGATAAGGTATGGGTTTTTAGTGAGTTGGCACATGAATTTTAGGGCCAGTTCTTCAAAACCAATGAACACAACAAAAGCAGGAAGTAGCTTGGAAAACTATGCCCACATTCCCCCCGCAAAGGACTATAGATATTTATCTTTATTTATAGAGTGCTGGTTACAAGATGTTATGGATAATTGTCTGGACAAAAAGCTAAACGAATGATATTGGATTCAGAGTTCTTGTTTAAAAAAAGGGGAGGAAATGCTGTGGGACAATGGTCTTTTATCCTGTCACTTGTCTTATTTTCAATAAAATGCTGATTGGCCAGTGGCCAGGCAGGAAGTATAGACGGGGTAACCAGGCAGGATGTAGAGGTGGCGTGATGAGAACAGGAGAATTCTGGGAAGAGGAAAGGTCACTTTGAAGCCATCACCCAGATGCAGAGGAAGCAGTGAGAATGACTTGCTGATAACAGGTACCAAGCACTGTGGATAAAACAGTCAAGAATTATGGGCTAATATAAATTATAAGAGATAATTAGAAGATAGAGCTAATAGGCTAACCAGTTTATAATAAATGCAGGCCTTTGTGGGTTTTCTTAGGGACTAAATGGCTTGGGGACCTGGTGGAAAGGAAACCTCTGTCAACACCATGCTGATCTTCATTGTGTCCTAGTCTCCAGTAAACACATGTCTAAGCTGTCTTATCTTGTGGAGTTTGTGCATTTCATCCATAACTATACCTGTGCTGTGTGACTCTCTCTCCTTCCCACTGTCCCCAGGACTCTGGGGCCTGGTCAACAATGCTGGCATCTCCATCCCCTCGACTCTCAATGCGTTCCTGAAGAAAGAGGATTTTGCCAAGATACTGGATGTGAACCTGTTGGGCGTGATTGAGGTGACTCTGAACATGATGTCCTTAGTGAGGAAGGCAAAGGGTCGAGTGGTCAATGTTTCCAGCATCCTGGGTCGATTGTGTTTGTTTGGTGGTGGTTACTGCATCTCCAAGTATGGTGTAGAGGCCTTCTCCGACTCCATCAGGTAATGATAGGGATGTGGGTATCTGAGAGAATCATTGAAATAGCGTTTTATTTAAACAAGACCATTAGGAGGCCATCATGAAGATGGCTCTGGTTTTGGGATTCTGTAACTGTCTCCTTGTTGGAAGTATGTGATCATTCTCCAGAAATACATTTTCATGTCTCCAGAAAATGTAGGGTCGACACAGGATTTATTTATTCATTTATTTATTTATTTATTTATTTATTTATTTATTTATTTATTCATTCATTCATTCATTCATTCATTTATTTTATTTTAGACACAATGTATGTAACCTTGACTGGCCTATAATTCACTATGTAGACCATGCTGGCCTCAAACGCATACAGACCTATCTCTGGAGGACTGGAATTAAAGGAATCTGTCAAGATGAAAGTTGTGTGCCAGCATCCTGCCAAGTTCAGTTAATCATATCCTGATTAGAGCTGGAGACATGGCTCAGCAGCTAAGAGCACTGGCTGGTCTTCTAGAGGATCCAGGTTAATTTCCAGAACCCACATGGCAGCTCACAACTGTCTATGACTCCAAGATCTGAATCTCTCAAATACACACACATGCAGGAAAAACACCAATGCACATAAAAATGTAATATCCTGCTGTAGTAGAAGGCTCAGAAAGGTAATATTTTTGAGGCATAATCAGACATATGATACTTTGGGAAGAGTCCAGACTCTTGACCTTTAATGATGGTCAACTCGAGGATGTCCATGAGGTGGGCTGAGCATCTCATTCCGTTCATATCGTAGTTTCTCGACTCTTGTTATAGTCTGTGGTCAACTCAATATAGAATCACAAGAAAGCTTTCCCCCAGGCCTTAAAAACTCTGACAACTGAGAAATTACAAGAGGAGAGAGAGAGACTGTGGCCATCCTTGCAGTGAGCAGAGCAGTTATCAGACTTAGGGTCCTAGAGCAAGAAGCCAAGCGGGAACCTAGCAGCCTGGTGAGGAGGCCTGTTGGGGAAAGTGGTCAGTCTTAGGCTCTGTGTGTCCACTGAATGTGCTGCTGTCTGCTACTCGACAAAAGGATAAGTCATGTGATACAGGCAGGAGGCTGAGTTGGTGAGCACATGCAGGCATGTAGGGAGCATGAGAACCACAGACAAGCATGTACTTCATGATCTTCGCGAGGCAAATAGGAAGAGAGTGAATCAGGGGAGCCATGTGTGCCATGCAGCCTGTGAGTTGTAGAGAATGGGGGGATGGTAAATGTGAGAAGCACTAAGAAAGCAGCCAGAGAGTGTTTCCAGGAAGATGCCTGCAGGAGCCATGGCCCAGCTGGACTGAGGCGGGTTTAGGGAAGGTTCAAACCTAAGAGTGAGGAGGAGGTGACTTGGGCAAGGGTAACCCTTTACACCTGGAATGTATAGACAGGTCTTACCTGGAGTCTAGTTTTAGGCCAGAGAGCTACATGCACCAAATACTTAGGGTGACACTTAAAGCACAGAGGCATTGCCCTCACCATGAGATTCATCCCCATCTGGTACACAACACCTGTCTGAAGCTTGTGGCCTCTCCTCACCACAGGCTGGCATTGTCATGTGACTGTGCTCTGATTCTGAGTGACCTCACAGAAAGTCCTCTGAAATCCTTGACGTCTCTATCTTGCAGGAGGGAGCTCTCCTATTTTGGAGTGAAGGTGGCCATTATAGAGCCTGGTTTCTTCCAGACTGCTATTTCCAGTAGTGACAGGCATTTGTCACATAACAAGATGCTGTGGGACCAGGCCAGCTCAGAAGTCAAAGAGATCTATGACGAGAAGTTTTTGTCATCCTGTGAGTGGGTTTTGGGGACCAAAGCAAATAAGTCTAGACTTCTGAGTCTCCTGTTGGTGTTGACAGCAGTCACCCTAAGGTGTTTCTTCTTAAAATGAGCATGTTTAGCTCTGTTTTCTTGGTACAGAGTGATCATCTGTCCACATAAAGAGATTCTTGGCTTCTAGAACATTAGGAGTTGTTTCATTTAAAACCTTATTTTATGACATGAAAGAGAAACTGGAGTCAGGAAGCAGTGACTTTCCCTGAGCTTGAACTTGTTTCCACTCTTGCAGAGACAAGAGAGTTCTCTGAACAGAGACCCAGGTGGAGCATGTGTGTGATTCCTCCTTGAAGCTGGGCTGTGTCCTCCTGACAACCTCAGACAGGCTAGGCTTGGGCATGGCTTCAGATGTGAGCAGCTTGGGCTCTAGTGAGACTTTCCTCCACGTTGGTCTAGAGCAGGAAGTGGTAGAGATAATCACCCCCGGAATCTTTCTCCTTTTGCATAGATGAAACAAGGATAAAGTTATTGGACAAACTGTCCAGCAAGGACCTATCCTTGGTGACAGACTGCATGGAGCATGCACTGACTTCCCGCCACCCCCGGATCCGATACTCAGCTGGTTGGGATGCCAAGCTCTTCTACATCCCTGTGAGCTACCTGCCCACCCGTCTTGCAGATGTCATCTTGTTCTGGACCTCCACGAAGCCTGAAAATACTCTGTGAAGCCTGCATCTGTTTCCGTAGTTGGGGGTATAACAGTGTATAAGCAGGGTATAAGCAGTGAGAGAGAGAGGATCCTCAGAAGACAGGGGCTGGGCTCGGGGCAAACTTGTCATTGGTTGGGACATCCACAGGTGCCTGACTTGTCTTTCTTTGGTATGACTATGGAGAACATCAAGCCTCAGGAAAAGCTTCTATGTTTATACGATGATTCCAATCTTGATAAAAATAAGAAAGTGATTTTCCATGTATCAGGGTGATCCATTTTACTTATTTTAATTTACAAATCTATTATTTGTTTGTCTGCTTGTGTATCTATATTGCATGTGTGTAGGAATACCCATAGAGTCCAGATGATTGATTTTCTTGAATCTGAATGTACAGGCTATTGTGAATCACCTAACTGTGGAGTTGGGAACACAATTTAGGTCTTCTAGTCTACCACCTGTCCCTGTGGCTAAACTCCTTATTTATGGTTTTACTTAATTATACATTTTGAGAGAGGCTCTCACTATGCTACGCTCATGGGTCCCTAGAGGACAGGCCTTTGCACCCCCACTTGAGCTGTTTTGCACTCTTGTTGTTGGCTGATCCAAAAACAAGAGCAAAAACAAGAACAAAACAATCTGTTGTTTTCAGCAATGTTTCTAAAGATGTTTACTCCTACGGTGATGAACTTGCTTTTGCTGGCTTGACCTCCCCTGCTGAGAGCTATATATACTGTGTGAGAAAGTAGAATAAAGGCTTGTCTGCAGAACCTGAAGTGTGCTGAGTTAATCCTGATGTCCCTCGCTCAGAAGAACGACGGTTACCATTCTGGCCCTACAAAATGGAGGGCCCACCGAGATCTGAGATAGAAGGGGTAGCAGATGGAGTCATCCTAGGCTGGTAAGTATGGACTGAGGTAAAAATGGGATCCACAAGCAGTAAGAGAGACTTGATATTTCAGATAGCTGAATTGTTAGAGAAACAAGGAACTGCAGTCAAATAGAGAACTATAGAGAATTTTCTTAAGAATATAGCCACACCATTCCATGGTTTTGACAGGTGGAGGTTTCAACATCTCTGATTGGAAATAGGTAAAAAGAAATTTGCAGAAACAACTGCAAAAGGAGGGTGCCGATAGTGTTCCTATATCTACCTTTTCACTATGGTGCCTTGTTCGTGATGCCCTGCTTACTGATAATGTGAAAGTGAGAAATACTCAAAGAAATACAGGAGGAGACTTGCCGGTCCATAGGATCGGTGGAGGAGTTGCACAAACACCAAAAGGAAATCTCAGGGGTTCCAGGGGTTCTGATGGGAACTTTGGAATCTGGCGCAGGACCAAGACTAGTGCCAAAGTCTGCACCCTTTTGGGTGCAAAACCAGATAGCAATAACCTCTGAGACAGAAAATGGGGAAGACAGCCTTAGCTCTAGTGCAGATGAGGAAGATCTGATGAGGAAGAATACCTAACGCAGGAAATTAAGGTACTTCAGAAAAGGCTGAAGCGCTGTAAGGACAAGAATTCCTTATGTGTGCCGTCAGCCCCATCTGCTTATAATGAGGACTGGGGAAGGAGGGAGGCCCATTGGGGACTGAGAGATGAATGGGAGACCAAAGAGGGCTCAGGAAGAAGAGGAGGTGTCTGCTTTCAGCCCTGGAACACATTTACTTTGATCATAGAGGTACCTGATCCTAACAATCCAGGACAGATGCTGAGACAACATGTGGCCTTGAGCTTTAAGGAGGTGAAGCAATTGAAAGAGGCCATGGCGGCATTCAGCACTCAGGCCCCCTTTACTCTTTTCATGGTAGAATTGTTTGCGGCATTGAATCTTACACCTAATGATTGGCAGCAGTTATGCTGGTATTATTGGGAGGAGTTTCCTTATTGTGGAGGGGAGAATATCAAGAAAACTGCTTACAAATGGCTAGGTTAAATGCTCAAGTGGGACAGGCACAGCACAATCTAGACATGCTAAGTGGAGCAGTAGCTTATGCTAACTTGGTCAATCAAATTGCGCTCGATCCAGCCATATATCTTCAAGTACTTGGACAGCTGGGGATAAAACATGCTTTAACTGTGGTGTCCCTGGACATTTTAAAAAGGAATGTCCACAGCTCCCTCAGGGAGCTACCACCAGACCAGGAAAGTTCCCATGATGTAAAAGGGGGACCCATTGGGCAGATGTATGTTACACACCTGCCCACCGCAGGGAAACTTAAGTTTGTCCATGTATCAGTAGACACCTTTTCAGGAGTAACTTTCGCATCCTTGCATTCGGGAGAGCAAGCAAAAGATGCCATTGCACACTGCCTATCTCCTTTTGCCTATATGGGCAAACTTGAAGTTATTAAGACAGATAATGACCCAGCTTATATCAGCAAATATTTTTTATCCTTTTGTTCATTCTGTAATATTTCCCACAAAACAGGCATCCCGTATAACCCAATGGGCCCAGCAATTGTGGAATGAGCCAATCAGACCCTCAAGCAACATTTTCAAAAAATAAAAAGCCATAAAAGGGGACCTTTTTGCTATAATACTGTTGTAGGAGTGAGCTTTTTAGATAATATAATGCTTTCCAAGCCTGATCACAATTAATACAATGCACTTGCTTTCTCTTTATAGCATTCTCTACCTGTGTGAGTGCCTCTCTGGCAGCTTCTGTAAGCCGTCTAGTAGAATTTGGATCACTGTTCTTTTTAAGAATTGTACTTAGTGGATCAAGGCCTCCCGTAGAATATTTTAAATAAGGTCTCAGTTACGGGATATTTTCCAACAACTTTTGAAAATCATTTAGAGTCTTTAAACTATTCTTTTTAATTTTTAGTTTTGAAGCTTAATTTTATTTTATAGAATGTAACATAAGGCCTAAATACTAGAAAGGTGGGTGCCCTGTATTTTATCTGCAGCAACAATTAACCTGCGTGGGTAAAGCTCTGTTGTAGTAGTCCATTTGTCTCAAGTAAAACTCCTTCATCTTTATGGGCAAGTAAGATATTACCCATATAATGGACAATATAAATCTGTGGAAATGGATCTGTAACATCTTGTATAACCTGAGCTACAAATTTCTGACACAAGGCAGCACTGTTTGCCATACCCGGATAGAAGACACTCCATTGATATCTTTTCCTTTTTTTAAAAAAATATTTACTTATTTATTATGTATACAATATTCTGCCTGTGTGTATGTCTGCAGGCCAGAAGAGGGCACCAGACCCCATTACAGATGGTTGTGAGCCACCATGTGGTTGCTGGGAATTGAACTCAGGACCTTTGAAAGAGCAGGCAATGCTCTTAACCTCTGAGCCATCTCTCCAGCCCCCCTTTTTTAATATTTATTAATTTATTATGTATACAATATTCTCCATTGATATCTTTTCATTGGCTCTTTGAAATTAACTGAGGTTATACTAAATGCAAATTTTTGACAACCTTGTGGTGCCATAGGGATGGCATAAAAACAATCTTTTCAATCTAAAATTATCTTATGGGTGTCTGAGGTAGGAGGAGGCAACCCAGGTTGTAATGCTCACATCAGCTGCATGGTTCCATTAGCCTCTCTTAGGTCCTGAGTTAATCTCTACTTTTCTGACTTTTTTTTAATTAGAATAGAAGAATTACGGGGGGGGGGCAAATTGGATGGTATAATGTGACATCTACCCAGCTATTCTGGCACTAGTGTTGGGCAGCTTCTAAGTTTTCTTCTATTAGAGGCCACTGATTTACCCATACAGACAACTGGGTAACCTGCATGGAGTGCAGGTTTCTCAGTGACCTCTCCTGAAAATATCCTAATGCTACCTTGGGAGACCTTTTGCCAGGTATGATAGGATTGATTCTTCCCTTTTTATCCTTGCCTAGACCCTGATTGGGTAACAATCCTTGCTGAAACTTTTAATTACCAATAGCTGTTGGGGGAATATAAATCTACTCCCATTTGGGTCATATGTCGGCCACATAAATTTACAGGTAAATGAGGAACAATGTATGACTGGAAAGTTCCTTCATGACCCTTTCCATCCTTTCAGTAAAGCTCATTACTACTTTGCTCAGGATTTTGTGCCTGACCAATCCCTTGTAGCGTTGGAAAAGTCTCCGTTTTTTACTGTTTTGAAGGCCATTGACAGACAGGTATATCCACATCAGTATCCAGAAGACCAG